TCATTTAACTCCTTTTGCTACTGGCCATGGTCCACAGTTTCTTCTTAGGACAAATATCTACACATTTCCTAATATCTTTAATTTATACTGCCAATTCAGTGAATGTAGTGGTTATTCATTAACTGGAAGATACAACTTAAAAAATTTTTTTTGATTTACCTTTTAATTTTTTGTTTACCTCATTATCATCCCCAAATTTGCCTTTTATTCCTGAGTGATTTAAAAATAAATCACTTTTTATCTGATAATAGCTTGCTACCCGTTTTGTGAATATATTTTACCCAAAAAAGCCATTAATAAATATTTGTTTGCTTGAAGATAATAATGTAGTTTTAAGTTATGTCAGGTTCACCCTTGTTGCTATTTCCATTTGTATTCTCACTGACTTGAGCAACTTACTGAAAATGTACTTATATAAAGTGATCCTCTTTTGGGCTCAATTTTTTGAAGTAGCATAATGGCCTTATGCTGTGTTTTCATTTGTGGAAGTGAAAATTGTAAAACATTAATGAAAGAAGTTAAGGATATACACACAAAGAAAAATGGGGAGAGGGGTAAAAGTCTGTTGTGGATTAAATGCACTACTATTGTTGAAATACAGTATTAGCCCAAATTGATGTACTGATGCAATTCAATCCCTGTGAAAATACTAACAGCATTCTTAACATACATTTTGTAAAAGTCTCAAATATTTTTAGATCAGAAATGGCATCCTGACTTTTTTCTTTTCCTTCTTAGCCTTTGGGTGATATTTTGGTTCTTAGCCTTAGCCTTTAATGGCTGTGCTATCCCTCCAGCCTAGGCTGATAGATATTTTATAGTACGTATTTCAGGCTTTGCTGACTACACGGAGCCAGCCTCCGTCCCATAAGTTATCTTTTATTACAATTGGACTTTTCCTAACATGTGGACTGCATAGAATCAGACTTGTTGCTGACCTTGGCCGGCAAGACTGCAACTTGTTCACACCTACTTTAGGTAAAACATTGTGAATACTGTATTGACTTACAATTAGGTTTTTAGGGGTGATATTCAACCAAAATTAAATGAAAAAAACTAGAGTCAGTTCCCACATCTGGCTGTTAAAGCCCAGCTTCATGCTTGGAAGGATCTAAGAGCTCAGGTAAAGCATGGCTTTGTACAATTCTGGGGATGAACATGAGTGCATTGCTAATGTTAGAGACACACTCCACCACAGAGTAACACTACTAGGTAGCCCTTTGCATTCATTTTTTTTTAAAGTAGGCTTTTACTGCTGTATGTTTCTTAGAATTATTACTTTTTATGGTATCCCCTAAGTTTTGATACGTTGGGAGAGCTAAGGGGGATCTCAAAGTGTAAATTAATTTCCCCTTTATTCTTTGACTTAGTTGTTCAAGAGCATACTGTTTAGTTTGTTAATTTTACATGATTCCTCCTGTTTTGTATTTGTGTGTGTCCTGTTGTTTTTATGTTTATGCCATCTAGTCATAAGAGATAATGATAGGATTTCATCCTTAAATTTACTCACACTTGTTTGTGGCCTAAAGGAAGACCTATGCTGAAGAATTCTTTGTGCACTTTGAAGACTATATATAATTTAGTTCTGTTGGACGGAGTGTTCTTTATCACCATAGTTGTGTCCACTTGGTGTTATTTGACCAGCACTTGTCCAGTATTAATGATTTTGTCTGGATGATCTTGTTTTTCAGTTGTGGCATTGAAATCCTTAACTCTTTTGAACAGCAATTTTATATTTAAATTGTGTGTGCATGCCCACACACATACAAAAGCACATGCAGGTCCCTGGGGCCAGAAGTGATAGATCCCCCTGGATCTGGAGTTCTACAGTCTGCTGTAAGCTGCCTGATATGGGTGCTAGGAATTAAACTCAAGCCCTCTGCAGGAGCAGTTCACACTCTTAAACTTCTCAGTTTATCATCTCTCCAGTCCTCCTTAGCAAAAAAAAAAAAAAAAAAAATTGTGTTGAGACAGGGACTTCCTGTACCCCTAGCTGGCCTGGAATTCACTTTGTAGACCAGGCTGGCCTCAATGCCACAGAGTTCCTCCTACTTCTGTCTCCCAAGTGCTGGGATTAAAGATGTGCTCCTATAAGTCCAGCTTCCTTGCAATTTTTATATTGTTTCTATTCCGTGGTTAGCTGTATCTTCTTGATGGATTGATCACTTTGCATGATACAAAATTATTATTTGTCAGCACTTGGGAGGCAGAGGAAAGCAGATCTCAGTGAGTTCCAGGTCAGCTCAGGCTACAGGGAGACCCTATTATCTTAAGTCGGCGGGGGTGGGGGGTGTCGGGTGTCACACCTGGCTTATTTATCACTTAAAATTGTATTTTTAATTTTTATGTGAATGACTGTTGTATGTGCTTCTTGGTAAGTACACCATGTAGGGTCCTGAAGAGGGTGTCAGATACCTTGGAACTGGAGTTAAAAGACAAGTTATTAGCTGCCAGTTGGGTGTTGGGAACCCAGCCCAGGTCCTCCAAAAGAGCAGCCAGTGCTCTTAACTGCTGAGCCATCTCTCCATCCCTTTGTCACTTTTTTAAGTGTTTGACTTCTCTTTTTTTCCTGAAATTACAATAGCCATCCCTAACTTTTTGTTTTCATTTGCATGTAATACCTTCTGCTGCACGAAGGAGCTTATAGAGTGATGAAAATGTTCTATGCCTTGATTGTCATTTTGTATATAGTTAAGTACATTTTTTTAACCTCATTGAGCCATTCACTGAAGTGCAGATTATAATGAATTATACCTGAGTAAAGTTTAAATGCTCAGGATTAATAATAGTGAAAATGTAAAAAAAAGTTTGATTAAAAAGCATACCCTTCCCTAAAGCTAGCAGTATACTAGTAGTCAAGTACATTCATTTGAATATTTTTCTTTTGTCACCAAGTAGATGTAAATGTGTGTTACTGTCCCTTAATGTATCATGGTATGGACAGTTATATTAGGTTTTTAAAGTGATTCATTAAGTGAAAACTTTTTTTTCTATTTTATGTTTTTAATGTGTTTTGATCATCCTAATTTGTGCTTTTGAGTATTTTCTGCTTTTGTTTGTTTGTTTATTTATTCTTTTAAAACGGGGGTCTCTCTGTAGACCCGCAGTGTAATTCTCTCTGTAGAAAAGGCGGAAATCTGCCTGCCTTGCCTCCCTGGTACTGGGATTAAAGGTGTGTGCCACTATGCCCATCCATTTTTGGCTTTAAGGGGGCCTCCTGTAGCTCAGGTAGCCTTGAACTTAATCCTCCTCCCTCCACCTCCTAAGTGCAGAGTTTACTGGCATGTGTTAAAACACCTAGCTGAATTTATAACATGCTAAAAAATAGTGTTATGGCTTTATTATACGTTTTGTCAGCTCCATTGCTGACAGTTCACATTCATAACATTTGTCTTTCACATGACCATGTTGCATGTCAAGGCAAAGACAGAAGGCATAGTAGTATATGTGTGAGTATATCATAAAATCACATTAAGAACTAAACAAAAATGGAAATTCAAGAATTTTTAATCGGAGCCAGGTGTGATGGCTCACACCTTTAATCCCAACACTTGGGAGTCAGAGGCAGGTGATCTATGTGTTTGAGCCAACCTGGTCTACATAGAGTTCTAGGTCAGCTGGGGCTACAGGAAGACCCTATCTCAAAAAAAAAACAAAAAAAATCTTAAGCTGATCTTTCTCAGTTACATCAGTACATTATGTCAATTTTAAGTGTCTTGTTATTACACAAAAAACAGTTTGGGAAAGAAATTTCTTTAATATTTGGTTTAGATTTCTAAGTAATTTCTCTGTGGCCATAGATTTTTGCCTTCATAGCTTCTGATTTGTGTTTGAAGACTCTTGAGTAACTTGCTTTGCATTCACTAACCCCTTTCCTTACCTTTGGATAGACCGTTGCTAGTTGAGTTTTTAAATTAAGAATTAAGAAGCTGGGCTTGGTGGTACACACCTTTAATCCCAGCACATTGGAGGCAGAGGCAGATGGATATCTTGTCAGTTTGATGCCAGCCTGGTTTTTGTGTGTGTCTGTGTGTGTCTGTGTGGCACATACACAGACACACACACAAGCGTTCCAGGCCAGCCAAATCAACATAATAAAACCTTGTCTCAAAAACCAAAACAAAAACAGAATTTAAAAGATGAAAATACCTAGAATTCTTTTCTTTAACCATTTATCTTCCAGTTCTTATTGGTGCTTTTAAGGAATCAAGAGGATAGAATCCCTTTTTACTATAAAGCAGTGACATATTCAAAACATAAAAAACTTAATGGAAAAATAGAAGGGATTCAAACGAAATGCACAATTCATCCTTGAAAAAGTTGACATCCATTCACTGTGGTCTAGTAGCTTTCAGAGAACTCCGTTGAATTTCCACTATTTAACGTCTTTGTTTAGATGGAGCCTACCACCCAGTATACCTTCATGCATTGTACCATGGTTTGTTTTTTATTAACTGTAAAAGAATTAAGTAGCTTTTAGAATAATATGTAAACTGTGCTGGATTTTTTTTTCCCCCAGTGATATGATCTAAAATTGGACATTCTACTGACCTTTGTTTACATGTTCCTTGCCCAAGGAGTGGTATAAACAAAATATTTTTTGTTGTCTCAGTATCTTTACTGAGACCAAATAATACTATAAATTTTAGAAAATTTAGTTATTGGTAAGGAATGCCTACAAAAAAATCTCTCTTGGCCTTAGTGGAGAAGAGAGAGGAACTTTGAGAGAAGATGGTTTGAGAAAGGCAGGATTGTGATGACGTGGGTAGCTTGAGTCAAGTTTGGGTCAAGTCAAAAGACTGATCCTGAACTGGAATGCCACATAGTGTTAGCTTTCCTGTTATGAGAAGGCCACATAAAGATCTCTGCAGTTAACCTTGGAGTACTGCTGGAAAGGTCAGGGAAAGATTCTGTGGGATTTTAAACAGAATGGTTACGTGGAACATTTTATAAAAACAATTCATAACTTCTTATTTAACTTTTATATTTCCTATATATAGGTTTAAGAAAATCTACCAAGAAGCGCAGTGAGTCCCCACCTGCTGAGCTCCCCAGTTTGAGGAGGAGCACACGCCAAAAGACCACGGGCTCCTGTGCTAGTACCAGGTAATTAATCTAGTAGTTTTCAGATTATATTTTCATTTATCTTCTATTGCTCGGATATCTCCAGATTTGATCAGAATTCTTATTTTTAAAGTTACTAATTTAAGTTTTCCCTCCCTCCTACTTCTCCATCCCTCTCCCTTCCTTGCCTTTCTCTTTCCTCGCTCCTCCCCCTTTTTTCCCCTCTATTCCCTTGTCCTCTTCCTTTCCCTTCCCTTCCTTTTTTTATGGTAGGGTCTTGCTACTCTGGAACTCAGAATTTGCCTGCCTCAGCCTCCCAAGTAATGGGATCACAGGGGGGTGTAAAGTAATTGTCTACTGTACTATTAAAAGTATGCATTCTAATATCACTAGTGTTTTTGTGCTTTTTGTCCACTATTATTTAGATGTTTTTAAAAAATACTTTATTTTTATTTTTATGCCTATGAGTGTTCATGTATGTAAGCATACTGTGTGTGCAGTGCCTGTAGAAGTCAATAGATGGCCTCAGATCATCTGGAATATTTGTGAAAGATGGTTGTTATCCATCATGTGGGTACTGGAATTCAAACCTAGGTCCTCTGCAAGAACAACCAGTGCTCTTAACTAACTGCCAAGTCATCTTCTAGCTCCTATTTAGATGTTTTACTTAATTTACAGTTTTCATTTTTAAAAAACGTGTATAATACCTGCATGTGTGTAAGTGTTCCTGTGTCTTGCGAAGTCTGCAGTGGTCAGAAGAGGGTGTCAAATTCCCCTGGAACTGGAGTTACAGACTGTTAGATGGCATGTGAGTGCTGATAATTGAACCTGGGTCTTAAGAGCAGTCAGTGCTCTTAACTGCTGAGCAATCTCTCTCTCCAGCCCCAATTTTTCTTTTTTTTTTTTAACATTAAAATTTATGTTATGTTGACTACCTGCATATATGTATATATGTGCAGTATATCCCTGCCTGGTGCCTGAGAAGACCAGAAGATTGTCAGATTTCCCTGGGGGAGCTGGAGTCCCCTGGTACGGGTCTTAGGAACTAAATATGGGTCCTTTGCAAGAGCTATAAGTGCTCATAACTGCTGAGCTAATTACCCATTCCTTAATTTTTTATTTTAAAACCTTCCTTTATTAAATAACAGCAACTTGATTGTTTTAAATAGATTTATTTATTTATTTTGGTCTTTTTGAGACAGTCTCCTTGTTACCCCAGCTTACCTGGAGTTAAATAGATTTTTTAAAAAGTCACTAAGTGGCTGAGTGTGACACGTTTTTTCAGTGATTATTCATGTCTAATTTCTGTTGCATTAATGTTCAGTGGAATTATAGAGAAAGCCCAACTTTCATAATCACTGCCTCAGAGGACTATCACAAGTCCATTCTTTTTTGTCACTTTCATCATCTCTTTCTTTGGCTACATTTTCACAGTCATGTCTAGTAGTTGGCCATTAGGTTGTTTTCAGAGTTGTAGTCTGCCAGATATATGTCTCAATGAGCATCTTTGTTCAGATTTGACTTGTTTAAAATGTGGTTACATTTGCCATTGGCAGGATTGATGAAACTTTAAAGGAGATTCCTCTTTTAATGACTGTTAATATTGCCTAATAAGTTTCCAGCCATCAGTAACTGAGTTTAATGAGCAAGGAGAAGAAACATTTAATTTTCGTTTTGTATTTCAAGATCTTACCAAGAAAAAGTGTGGCCACTATGTGTATTCTTTCACATTTCCAATACCTGTATTTCCAAGTTATTTTGGATCTGATTTGAAGAATTTCACTTGCTTTTGAGATGGGTCTTATTTCATATACTTAATTGAATGAGAATCTTAGGTTAAAGATTAAAAAATCCTTTTCATGAAATTGTCTCAGATTTTCAGGTTTGCTATGAAAGGATACTCATGTTGTTATTCAGTAGACAAATGTCAGTTATCTGTCATTTTTTTTATATATATGAGTGTTCTGTATGTGCACCATGATCATGCAGTACCCAAGGAGGCCAGAAGAGGGTGTTGAATCCCCCTCAACTGGACTTATAAGATGGCTGTTAGCTACCATGTGGGTGCTGGGAACCAAGCCTTGGGTCTACTGCAAGAGCAGCCGGTGCTCTTAACCACCTGAGCCATTTCTCTAGCCCCAGCTCTTCCTCTTTTAAATGCAGTTTTTTGTTCTTTACTACATGCATCAAAACCTATGACGGGTCAGTGATCCTAGATTGCCTTTTTTTCTGTTCAAGACTCGGGTAAGCAGTAAGATTTTTGAATTTCATTTGATTCTTAAGTTAGTCGGTTTTGATTTTAAGTGGTGATATAATGACTACACAAGGAAAAGAATGACTTGTTCATACCATAATAACAAACATAATGTACCCTTGCCAACCTAAGTCTGTCTCTACTTTTATACTTTTGAGAGATACTTGGATAGTGAATGTTGAACGTAGGGCCTCATGCACAGTAGCCTTGTGCTACCACTGTACCTGTATTCGTAGCCTCCACATGTAGTTTCTACTTCTTCACAATACTTAAAATGTCTAGAATTAGCATAACTTCGTGCTTGAGGTTTCTTAGCAATACTTTAAGAATTCCTGTGAAAATAGTTCTTAGTTCTCCACGGTTGAAAATCTGTTTTGGACCAGGTTTTGAATATTGTGTTCCTCTTGTTTTCACTGCAGCCTTTTGTACACAGGGCCAGTTGATTGGTGCATGTAAAATTACATCTAATATATATGGCTCTATTGTGCACAAGCTAATATAGCACACTCTTGATGTAAAACCTTTTCTGAAGAATTTGGGTTCTACTTGTAGCTCACTGAGGTAGTGCCTTTGTCTTCAGAGGATGGTAGCCTTATATACATGTTCTGCCCATTGTGTTGTGAAAATTAGATGCTGAATGACTGAATCTGCCTGATTTGTAGCTTGGCAAATTTGATTTTATCCGAGCTTTTTTTTTTTTTCCTCTCTTTTTTTTCATATTTTATTATTTTATGTGTATGTGTGTATTGCCTGCGTGTAGGTAAGTGCACCTGTGTTGTTCAATGCATGTGGAGGACAGAAGAGGCTGTTGGATCCCATGAAACTGGAGTTACGGACAGTTGTTAGCTGCCATGTGGGTGCTGGGATTCGAACCCGGGTCTTCTGCAAGGACAGTGTTCTTAACTGCCGAGCCATCTCTCCAGCCCCTTGAGCTTTTGTCTTACGAAGCAAAAAGCAATTAAAACGTTTTTAGTAGTAGATTTTGACATTTTCTAAGGTAATTTGAAGAGCTGCTGTCAAAGTAGTATTAAATTGTACAAGTGGGCCGTCTCCTTGCTCAATTTGCTTACTGATTTTTTTTTTATTAAAATGGGAAAAGATCAACAAAAAATGTAATTTTCTTCATGAAAAAGGTGTGATTATTTTATTTCTTACATTGTTCTTAAACATGTCTTCTGAGATGTCATGTTTGTTCTTGGTAAATATTAAGTTCATGGTTATTTCACATGATGAAGTTCTCTATTAAGATATTTTGGGATGGTTTAGGTACTCTGATACAGATATTTTCATCCTTAAACTGTCAGTGTCACTTTGTCTTTGTGTATTGATTCACTTTTTTAGCTTGGAAGTGAGGCTGTATTTTAAATGAGTAGAATTTTTTTCTCTTTGGGAGATTTAGGAGACTTCATTTATCTGAAGTTTTAAAAAAATCATGTCTGTAAAGATGACAACAGCTCCCAGTAACACAAAAGCTTATACTGTGAATGCCATATAACTTGGAAGAATTTTAAATATGCAAAGTCTTGGTTGTTACAGAAAAATCACTATGAGTAACCATTTTTATTTTAAAAGAAGAAACTGGCTTTTTGTACACTATGAATTTGAGCTTTGTGTTATCTATACATTGCTGCTGGTGCCCTGGTAAGGCTGCCTATGATGACATTTTTCTGTTGCAGTCGGCGAGGCTCTGGCCTGGGCAAGAGAGGAGCAGCTGAGGCCCGGCGGCAGGAGAAAATGGCAGACCCTGAAAGCAACCAGGAGACAGTGAATTCTTCAGCTGCCAGGACAGATGAAACTCCCCAAGGAGCTGCAGGTAGATCAGCACTTCTTAGCCCTAAGACACCTTTCATTGTCTTAATAAATTCGTTTATAGATGAATTGACCTTTTCTGCATCCCAAGTATGATAAAAAAGGCGGGGACAGAAATACTTAGATGTTACTAAAAAATTTTTGTTCTGTTTTGATTTTGCCTTATCAGTTTGATATTTTGATTTAGTGGGTTCATTTACTGGTTATTTAACTTTTTGCCCAAACCACACCTGTGCTAATTACACTCAAAGGGCATTTAAGCAGATATATGTTATTTATACTTTTTATATATTGATGAATACATACAGTTGTCTGATAGAAAGAATTTAAATTCGTAAGAAAAATGAAAGATTGTAGTTTAAATTGCTATCAAAGTATGTAAATCTTAATGTAGAATTTTGTAAACTCCAAAAATTGGTTTTGCACTCTAGGTACTTGGCTAATAGTATTTATTTTTATGGACATTTACATTTTTTTGGATATCCTTGGACAGCTAAATTAATTCATTTCTTTTTAGCATTAAATGTGTTTTTACTACTATTACTAAAAAAAATACTAAAGTTATTTTTCGTGGCAAGTCAGTTTTAAAATGTAGTGTGACATTGATTTTTCTAGACAGATTTTAAAAATACTGTTCATCATTAAAAATGTGTGAAGATGAATTCCTAAAATGGTGATGCAACATCAGGTTCAGACATAGGCATATACTTATTTTTTAGCAAACCTGTTTCATGCACTATGCTTTAATATTAGAATATGTGCTAGTTTTCTTTAATGCCTCGTTGGCTGGTTGTATGTCACAGTTTGCCAGAAAGGTCTACTACTGTTGTTTTTTACTGTCTTCCTTCCTCACCTTTCAAGTCAGTAGTCTTTCCCAATTTTGTAAGAAACTAGTGGACTTAGAGTGTATATCTTTTATTGGCAAAGGACTTCGAAAAAATCACTTTGTATTGTTCCTTGCATAGTTTTTCTGAAGAGTTGGTAAATATTTGGACGAATATAGGCCATCTCATTTTAATCATTGAAGTTGTTGATAACACATAGCCTCTCCTTTCCAGTGTTATAATCACTTTCTCAGTCTCTTATTATTTCAAGTCTGAATGTGGAAGTAGGGCCGATTCCTAAATGGATGACAGAAGCAAAGCTTCTAAATATATTATTACTACAGTATTTATAACACGTAATACAGCATACTCTGTTGCAGATACAGTATTAAATATTTCACACTTATTTAATAAAGTTACCTGCTGAGGCATGAGTTCTCTTACTACCATTTTATATAAATGAGGGAAAACTGAGGCTTGTATTGGTTAAACTTGCCCAGTGTTCCAGGTTAAAGTTGTATGACTTAAATCCACATCTTAGAACTCAAGTGCACATCACAGCTGTGTCCTCTCCCTAGGAATTACAAGAGTTTAATTCATATGAATAGAATTGAGAGATAGAATGTGGTGGGGGGGTGGTATTTATCCTTGGTATGTTATCTAAGAGGATAAATGTTTTATGAGAATAAGCACTGCTGAGTGTTTCATTGCTATTCATTCTTGAAATCACAGTGTGATAGAGGCATACTCAAAGTTGGTGTTTGCATGCTCCTTGTTGGAGAAACATTGGGTTTAGTATGTTTTAGAGGATGGTCCCCTTGTATATTGTAGGACTTGTTCTGCTGGCGGTTTAAAGTATTTCTTGGATGTGGAGTGAATTTTACTTACCAGCTTTACATTATGTTCTTTGGCATTATTTTATCTATGTGTAAAATACAAACCTAGTTTGTATTTTAAACATATGTCCTCTGAGGGTAGAGGACAGATTTGTGGTGGTGATTTCAACTACCCTTTGAAGTGTATCCCACTTGGACGGTGTTTCTGCAGTTGATAAAGTCCTTTAAAATAATGAAATGGCAAGGAAACGTGGACGTTGTTCTGACATTTACATTTTATATCATGATTTCATAATTTCACAGAAAATGATTATTATATAATACCTGATAATGGAGCTCATAGTAAAGAATAATTACATCGCTAGTAGTTGTGCTTTTGCTTTACTCTATAGTTTTGTAAAGGTGCATGATACTAAGCAGTTCCTGGCAGGTAAAAATCTAATTCTGCAAACCTTATAAATATTTTGCTTTTTTTTTTTTTTTTTTTGGGTTGGGGGGGGGGCCGTAACAGATTGTGTTAAAGTATAAACTTTGTGTTCTAAAATAGAATTTTTACATTCTGATTTAGACATTATTTTCTCCATTGTTTTCATCCAAGTTTTATTGTAGACTATGTAATGTACTGTTAGATACACCAAAAGGAGACATGGCTTTAGAAAAAAAGTATTGCCGTGTTTGGCAGGCTCAAGTGGATTTGTGAATTTGGACCCTGCCAGGAGAGTACATAGTGATACCTCTTATCAAAGAAAGAAAAGAAAAACTATTAATGCTGAAAATTTGGCTTTGAGTTTTTCCCTGCTGGTAGGAAAATATATATAAATGAATAAATAAAATTTTGGCGGGGGAGTCTTTTGAGACAGGGTCTCCCTGTAGTCCCAGCTGGCCTGAAACTTGGCTGTGTAGATGAGGCTGGCCTCGAACTCCCAGAGATCCTCCTGCCTCTGCCTTCCAAGTGCTGGGATTAAAGGCGTCATATTTTTATATTTGACTCAGTGCAGAAATTGTATGTTCTTTGAATGAAGTTGGCAGCCTTGAATAAAGAATTTTTGACTTGATTGACTACATTTTCTTACTTGCAGTACTTTGCAAAAGAGCTACCTTTTTACTGTTAAATGTTAGCCTAAAGGCTAACCTAGTTTGAGTTATGTAATTTTGTAAAACCACATAAAGGGAACTTTGGATAAGTTTTACAACCTTTCACAGCCTGGGGAGATGCCTTGTGCTTGCTGCACAAGCCTGAAGACATGGGTTCAGATACCCAGCACCTAAAGAAAAAGCTGGGCTTGTCACGTGGGGCTGTAACCTCAGTTTCAGGAGACCTTACGCCCTCTTCTGGCATCTGGGCACTGCATACATCTACACAGGCAAAACACTCATAAAATAAAAGTCTTTTTTCAAAAAGGACTGGCCTCGGCCTCACACAAGATTGTGCTCCTCTAGCTCTGGAACTGCTGGAGAGCAGACAGGATTGCTGGGACATGGCTGCTGGCCTAAGCCAAAACAACTTCAGATTTAGTGAAAGATGGTGTCTCAGGGGAATAAATTAGCTAGAGGAAGGCACCGAGTACGTGCCTCTGGCCCCCCCACCAAGTTTGCTGACACACACAGCTGGACACACATGTATATACACAGAAAGGGCTGGCAAGATGATCGCTTTTTGTCTTGAGTAATTTCTGTCAATTGGCACCTTTACCCACTTTGAAAAGCAGAGTAACTGATTTTTCTTGCTCCCTAAGATCAGAATTTCACTGTAATAGAACTTTACCAGCTCTTTTGTCTGTTCATCTGTCTGTTGTCATGCTAGGGATTGGACCTAGAGCCTGGCTTGTGCTAGGCAAGTGCTCTACACTAAGCAGGCCTTTTTTGGTCTTTTTGAGACAGGGTCTCCCTGTAGCCCCAGCTGTCCTGGAACTCACTATGTAGACCAGGCTGGCCTCAAACTCACAGAGATCCTGCCTCTGCCTCCCAAGTGCTGGGACTAAAGGTGTGCACTAATATGCCTGGCTACTAAGCAGGCCTTTTAATTATGCGTTTCCCAAGATTTATATATTGTTTATCTGATGCCTTTGTGGCATTGTATTTGTTGTTCATTACAAAATTCATTAGTAAACTAGAGACCTTTACTGATTATAGATTCTTGGAATATTTTTAAAGTGAAAACAAGCATCAGACTCAAAGCCCAAATTAAATGAGGTTTTGGTGAATTTTCTGTCTTTGTGTGTGTTCTAGAAAGTGCTTTGCAAAAACCAACTATCTCATATTAAGACTTCATGTTTGCTTTTCACATACCTGAAAAAGCTACTTTAACAAGCCCAGTCATAATTGGCATCTAAAATAACCATTATTTATTTGTGGGCTTGTATACAATATAGATCAATGACTGTAATTGAATTAAAAATTCCAATTGAAAATTGTGTTTAAGAAGTATACTTTTGGCCGGGCGTGGTGGTGCACGCCTTTAATCCCAGCACTTGGGAGGCAGAAGCAGGCAGATCTTTGTGAGTTGAGGCCAGACTGGTCTACATACTGAGCTCCAAGACAGCTGGGGCTACAAGGAGACCCTGTCTCACAAAAAAGACAAAAAAAAAAAAAGTAGACTTCTGAAAGATAGAGTTTGTGAAGCCCTACTCTCTGGGTTCAGATCCGATTGCTACTAGTCTGGCTTGGGCAAGTACTTTCAAAGTCATGAAACTTCAGTTTTTTACTGTGTATGAAGAATCTTCTATCTCAGGGGTTGTGAGGAAACCTTTAGGGAGTTTCTGCCTATAAGCATTTTTCTTGTTTTTATTGGGTGTTATTTTGGTTTGTTGTTGTTTTGAGGCAGGGTCTCCTTGTTTCTTCAGCTGACCTGGATCTCAGAAGACCTTCCTGCTTCCTCTGGGATTAAAGGGTGTGAACCAGAAACTTTAAAAAACTGCCTTATAAGAAGCTTCACATAGTATGGCTTATCAGTTAATCTTTTTCAATCAGCAACCATTAATCTTAAAATTATGGCTCTCTCTTATTTTTGTCTGATTGACCTGTAACCTAAACCATAGAATTGTTAATATTTTCTATAAAAGATCATATAATGTTTGAGGCCTTATGTGGCCTCTGTTAACAGTCACTCCGTTCCGGGATTGCAGCAAGGAAGCAGCCCCAGACAATACATAGGTGAATGAAATGAGTACAGCTCTGTACTTGCATCACAAAACCTATAAATTTTTCGAAGAATTAAAAAATTCCAATGACGTTACAGAAGTGTGAAGAAAAGTTGCATAAAAATGCAGAGTTGGTAGCCACTACCTTGGTACCCTTTTATTTATCCTAACGATAGGATCTTGTTATATGTCTGTGGCCTATGCTGGCCTGGAACCCACCACTATTCCATACTCGGATTAATATATGTAAATTTAAAGAGCTATTCTTTTTTTTTTTTTTTTTTTTTTTTTTTGAGACAGGGTCTCTCTGTAGCCCCAGCTGGCCTGGAACTCACTATGTAGACCAGACTGGCCTTAAATTCAGAGAGATCCACCTGCCTCTGCCCACCAAGTGCTGGAATTAAAGGCGTGCACCACCACACCCAGCTACTCCTGTACTACTTATAAAAGTCTTCTGGATTTGTATTCTGCCATTATTTAGTAAACAGTTGTGAATGATGTGGTCATATGCAGATCATATGTGTGTGAAACTTTGAGTGTTTCAGCAGACACTTAAGAGGCACAGCAAGCAGACTGATAATTCTGCAAGAATAGTTTTTTCTTAGGTCAGATTCATAATAGAATTAATCTCTGTTGCCTTACAGTGGATTTATTTTGTTTCAGGTATGCTTCATGTGGTAGGATCCTTCTGATTCTTTCATTCTACTCTTAATTTTTGACATCCCTAGACTCTTTCATACTTAATAGCACTGCTCTGCAATTACCTGTCCATTGTAATGCAGTTTTTCAGTATTTGATTCCAGAAGTAAGTATATAGTCTTCCCACAGTCTTGGAATTAGAGAAAGCAGATCAATGATTATTTTCTGTTTCTTACATATCACAATGGTTTTAGTAGTATTAATTCATTGACTTCTGCCAGAGGAATCTAGGACAGAACATACTCAATAAATATTTCAAAGGCATGAAAGGTTTTATTTCTATACTTGTTTTAAATGTGATAGAATGATGCAGAGAAGAGGGGAGTACATAGCAGGAAAAGTAGTGTTATTGCCTTTTATTGTAGTCTGTAAAGCATCATTTCTCTGTTTTAAGATAAGGCAGACATGTGAGTTTAAATGCTCCTCCTAATCCTCACCTTCCCCCTCTCCCCAAGCCTCTAGTTCTGTTGCAGGGGCTGTTGGCATGACCACCTCTGGGGAGAGTGAATCGGATGATTCTGAGATGGGACGATTGCAAGGTAAAAACTGCCATTGAGCCGGCAAGAAATGATTACCACGGGATGCCAGATACTCCTGTTCTTCACTTGAGATCAGTTCACATATGTTCCCTTGAATATTACCTAGAAGTGCCTGCGCATCCACATATCTTCCCCCTTTCCCCCACCAAAAAAAATCCAATTAGCTTAATGACAGATTGGTGCTTTAGGTTCCGAAGTTGATCTATATGCTTCGTCATTTTTACTATTAACCCAGCAGTCTTAAATTTTTTTTTTCCAAAATTTTCTTCACTTGATTTCATGTATAATTGGCTTTAACAATAAATTACAAAAGACCTCAGTAAGTTCTCTGCTGTTTAGTAAATGCATTTAATAAGTGCCCTTTCCCCCAAGCCACATGTTCTTTTTGTCTGTTTGATCATCTACTTCAAAATGAATTATGTAGTATATATGTAAACTCTAGATGGAAAAAAATACTGTCAGAGCTTTTAGAAGGAACAACTTTACATTACATGAACTCCCTTATGAATAGGTGGATCTGTATTTTCATTTCAAATGTTACATTTTTCCTAGACGTCCAATGTAAGACTTAGAGGAAACATTATAAGTCAGTTTCACATTGTTTTTAAGTTCTTGAGAGAAATGACAATTTTTTAAAAAATGAAAATGCTCATGAATATAGCTTTTTTTAGTTTTGGAACTAAAAACAGTGTAATGATTTTCATGAATGTTGCGTGTGTGTGTGTGTGT